TCACGACCAAATGCTCGTATTTGTCTCTGAATTGTCCTGGAGTTTATTTATCGACCAATTAATTCAACGACCAAAACCTTTAAAAGTAGGCCTGATAGAACATTTGTATGTCAATGAATATATATTGAGGCACTCACCTAGTGGAGGCGGGATCGTTTGTGAGACAGCTGCAAGAAATAGATACATGTATCCGATTAATTTATGTTAAAGGTTGATGGTGTAATTTTACACATAAGCCCACTGACTTTCTCATTTCCTGTAATCTAACATATTCCAACGTGTAGTAGTAATAGGTAGCGTGTCTTAGTAGGCCTGCAAGCTAGGGATGTGGGGGGGGGGCGTATTATTCTGATTTATGCTAGTCCTACTTGTGGCTACCTAAAATTTCAAGGAAGGGAGAGAGGAAGAGAGAGAGAGAGAGAGGGAGGGAGAAAGAGAGTGAGACAGAGAGACGTTGGGAACTTTGATGATATCAGCGCGCGCATTGATTTTCGACTGATTTTTGAAAAAAAAAAAAGAAATTTTGTAGCTCTTTGACAGTGATCAACATGCCGAAAATGGGCAGAATGGCATGCTTTGCTAAAACGTGTATGGCAAATAAACAGGAAGAGAGGAGACAAGGCAAGGCTCTGATTTTTTAATGTTTTCATTTTACTTTGATGCAGTTATGTATTTTATTCCTTCTATATTTTTGCCACTGAATCAAAACCATTTATACAAAGATTAAAAATATTTCTTTTCATAGTTGTTTCAGTGACAAATGGATGTTGTGATAGTTGGCAGTAAAGTTAGCACAACATAGTTATCATTTCTTGTTTAACAGGATTTCTGATGTCAAAATTTGAAAATATAGGAATCTTGTGTTTTGGGCCCGTCTTGTTTTTTCACACCCTATCGCACTAGATTTGGAGTCTGCGGAGGATGTCATAAAAATCGACTTGCTGTGGCCCTATGAGAACTTTTCGGTAATTGAAATCTATCATTTGGGCACTGGAATATGGTCAGATACGTAGTGCTCACACAAAAACACAAGACTGGCTGCGCCATACATGTATGCATGTTTAAAATGCAAGCGACACAGGCCATTCACACGGAGTTAGGCCACACTTCTTTAATTTTATGGATGACATCCAAACGCACATAAATTTTCGCATGCTCTTAAAAAAGATTAACCTCCGCAGAGGTTAAAGCCTGTACCCTTTCTCCGTAGTTCATGGTAGCTACCAACAAGAGGGAACTAGTGTCATAGCAGTCTCGCAGAACCCCCCCCCCCGTGTTTTCGCCCACCCCGGTGCAAAATTTGGCTAAAATCTCTAGCGAGTTCATCCTCCTAGGTGACACCGGTGGTAACTGCGAAGAACAGGCGTTAATAATAGCTACAATGCCCCACAAAAAAGGTCTACTCGTGCTCTATTCAGAGCATAGGTTTTTGGTGCCCGTGTCCGTTTCCGTAGCCCTTGGGCGACACACCGTTGTGCAGGGCACTACAGCAGGGGGCTAGTCCGCTGGTAGTGCTGTGTGCTTGACCTTCCCACACTCTTTCTCATATCTGCTGAGTGCTAAGCAGAGAAAGAAGTCTTTGGTATGACCCGGCCGGGGTTTGGACTCACGACCTCCCGGTTACAAAGCGTGCAATGCCCCACAGCACTTCAGAAATCAGTAAAGCACCGACTCATCGCAAAATTCCAGCATATACCGACTTGTCGTAAAAGTCGTTATGTACCGCCGCATATTCACACTGTGCATGTGTGTGACAGCTTTCTATTCCCGTGGTTTAGGAGCAATTTCCTCAGTCTACATTGCTTTTATCCGCTCTCACATTAGTTTGGGGGTCTTCAAAGAAAGTCATCCATAAAATTAAGTCAGTGTGACCTCATAAACTATACAAAACAAGGTGGAATTTCGTAAAGTTGACGCAAAAGTGTTCAGAGTTACAGTTGTACTTACCCAAGCTGAAATGAGCCACCATGAACGCGCTGAGTATCTTCAGGGCAAATTCCATGGTGCATTTGAGCAGAATAACACTTTCGTCTTGTCAAAGTGATGCGCGAAAACGTTAATCTTATAGGACAAGGTAGGTCTTGTCTCCAGACGAACACACACAAAAAGCTGTCTTCAGCTCAGACTAACACTCATGCAAGGACGGTGTCTTCTTCAGAGAAGATGAGCAGACAAACCTACTGAGGACGCACATCGTTTCCTTGTCGCCCTACAAAAGTACTGTCTGACTTAATCATTCTTCGCATTAAAGGTCACATATAATAACTTCACACAGCGTCGGGAAAGATGGCCTTAGGCATATTCAAAGTCATCAGCCTATATGTATTTGTGTTGTCATTGTTTATATTTCATCGACACTGTATGAAATTCAAGATCGAGATTCGTAATGACGTTCTAGCGTCACCAACGTTAAAACGAAATTTCCATTGTTAGGTACTGACGTTCAACATTTCACACACGCGTATATCCCGTGAGGAAATTGGACTTACTTCCGTCAACACCCTTATTCAAAGGTCAAAGAAGCTTGTCAGCGGATTTTTTGTGTTTACCGAAGAAAATGGTAAACATGTTGTTTTTGCTCAATTTCCTCTTCCTCTTCCTCCTCCTCCTCCTCTTCTTCTTCTTCTCCAAACATATAGAAAACAGCAATTTCTCCATAACTACCGGCTTGGATCATGGAACACCTGAAATTTGGTAAGGTGGTAGAACGGTACTTATCATATTGAACCTTGATCATTTTGGCCAACATAGATGTCAGAAAATGATTTTATTGGCAAAAAATGAGTGAAAAAAGTTGCATTTTAAGCCCCAAATGGAACATTAGAACACGTTTAGAATTTTAGAACCGCATTCCGATTCGGGGGTTCGATGACCGCGCGGCCTTTGGAACACACCATCCAGGCGAGAGGGATGGGGAGAATAAACATAATGAAGTCTACCAACACAGATAAACTTTCAAGATAAGTATGGTTACCAGTGGAGCTAGTTGTGACTTTGGTGAATTTAGACGTCCTAACGGCGCTGCATTTCTCATCTAGGAGTTTTAGCCACGATACATACACGAGATATCAAACAGATATCAAACGTGAAGTCCTTCGAATAATAATGGACCTTCCACAAAGTCAAACACCAAACTTTATCCATAAAACAGAGCAAATATTGCTATTTTCTTTCCTCATAACCGATTTGTGTCGGGAATCCAATATCCATGTGTTAGCCAATTATAGCAATAACTCCATTTTATTGCCATGTGTTTATAATTTGCACATGAAAGTCTAATATGCGAGACGATCACCCTGATATCACGTTCCTTTGGCCTTGTAGAATGCGCCGCAGGCCTGGCGCCATCAAGCATGGTTCATCACACACGAATGAAAGTCTGTGTCGCGAACGGTTCAAAACGACTCCTCGTTTTGTTGCAACTCGTCAATTAAGAATAAGTTTGTGTCCGGTGTTGCTGTTTTATTTCCAAAACATCGATGTCACTTCTCGGAATTCGTTCAGAAATAGGCAACAAATTAATAGGGCATGAAGCATGGTTGCCCTTAATTTTGTGATTAATTTTGCCCTGAAGAATGTCTCCCTGGCCGTACCTTGAAAAGGACATCTAAGTTCCAGTTCAGTAGACATACATCATAACAAAGTTTTCTATGTTGTACCAAACAGCGCCTTGTCTGATATAACGGCTCTGTCACATATTTCACCGAATTTGTTCCCGAACACCCGCCGGTCAGGTTCGGCTGACGTTTGGGAACAGTTTGTTCAGACTTAAGCCTGGTCTACCATTCTATACCAATCGAGACGAATTAAAGTAAAATTTGAGCCGTATTTCACCACCAAACATGCCCTGGATATTGTTGACTTACTCACGAAAAGTTGGCTCGTGTTCGAACACGTTGCTGACAATGGCTGAACTTTCAGGCCGATCTCTGAAGCTGAATAGTAGCCGAATTTGTCGAAGACCAGCCGATTTTGCGCCGACCTACTCTTAACCCACAAAAAATTAAACGAAAAAGAAAGAAAAAAAATACATAATATCATTTAACCTTTTTTTTTGGTTTTGGTTCAGAGTATGATTTTGAAAACCATGTCAAGTTTTCTCGTAAAGCTCTATTTTATATGACGCTATAGGGAGGTCAAGTGAACTACACAAGTTTAGTTCTATTTTCTCACGGAAGATGTTCGAGTATGGAAAGTTGAACGTCAATCACGCACATGGGAAGTCTTTAGAATTTTGGGAACTTCCTGATTTTTCAAAGCCAATTATTTTTAGTCATTTAAATACATACTGAGATGAAACCACACTATCCTAATATATATTGACTCTCATGGAGTGAATATGCTGACGGAAAATGGTTACTGGAAGGGCTCTGGGATGATTTTTAGGGTGCCACTTGGAAAAAAAAGGACTCATCTTGGGCTTGTTTCTGCAGTTTTAATTGTCCAAAGTATTAAATACTGATTTAAATGTGCTGATGTGAAGCAGTATGTGTCAATATTACATAGATTGCCTTATTATGAATATTTCCAGTTTTGCGGCCCTGAAATGGCATTGTATTTCTTCGGTAACGCTAGAACGTTGATACGAAACGTCATCTTAAATCTCAAACCACGTAGATAAACCATATATACACAATGTCAACACAAATACAAAGGTAAACGACCCTGAAGACGCCGGAGGCGTTCTTGTCTGAGGCTGTGCTTAGTTATGTGACCCACGACCTTTGATTTGACGTTCTTTTGTGGGGCCACAAGGAAACGGCCACGTTTGTTCACCCTCTCTGAAGAAACTGTGTAAACTGTGTCTGTGTGAGTCTTTATCTTAATTTAACCTTCTGTGGGGTTTCGCCTGGACACCAGACCTATCTTGCCATTGTGAGATACAACGTGCATCTTCAAGTCAGACGACGAATCAGTTTTAGAAAACGACCATATAAGTGTTCTCATCGTTCACGTACACAATGAAGCTTGCCCTGGGGATACTAGTAGTTGGCGCACTCATGGTGGCCAATTTCAGCTTGTGTAAGTACAAACGTACCTCCGTACAACCCTTCGTAAACTTTACTAAATTCCACTTTGTTCCTTACTGTATGTAACTTTGTAATATAGTGTTATTTGTAGACCGATCTCAGGTGAACATGAATGTTTGTCTGACGTCTAGTACGTTTCGTTAAGTCTATTTCCAGTCCACCCTTTTGGTTCTCTTTTCCCAGGCCCGAATGGCGGATTTAATAGATACCACAAAATTCCTTAGTGTACAGTGGTATGCATAACACGATGTCCAGACATCTTTACTCTAACATATTAGTGACATGCCCGGAACAAGTAGAAAACAACTGCTATACTAAGGGAAACAACATATAATGCCTGCACCCCCCCCACCCCATTATGCAAATGCTCAACTAGTAGGCTCAATTCTCAACGTGCTAACCCTTCTTTTTATACCAGCAACCCATGAGCCATGAGTAGACATTGTGACAGCACACTCAAAGCAGATAAGTACCGTCACCAAAGCAGATAAGTACGGATCAGGGCGAGATTTATTTTTACTTGAGTTTAATGAGGAAAGTCGTGTAAAGTGCCTTTCAAAATGGCACAAGATCGGTGGCATGTCAGGACTCGAACCCTGGACCACTTGATTCCGAGTCAAGCACTTTCACTGACGCTATGCCACACCACCCCACGAACTTTTCTAGTTTGCGTTAGAATGTGTTACATTTCATCGACGGTGCAGGAAAGCTTTAAGGATAACTGCTATGGTTGAGATGACACCATCGCCTTTCGGTACTTTAGGCCATGATGATTTGATTATATGGATGACATCCTCTGGGAGCCCCAAAACTGATGCGCGCGTGCGAATAAAAAAAAAAAGTTTTGCAAAAGAAAAAAGTTGCAAAAAGTTGCTTTCAGTATGAAATCTACGTGGTCATGAAGGTTGAACAAATGGCACAGAATATGTTATGGCGAATAATCAACTCTTCGAATTCATTTCTTCACTTTTTTTTTCTTTTTCCCTTTGATTTTGGCATTCTACGACATTGGTATCATTTCTAAATGTTTTCCTTGCAACTTATGGTATATTTTTGCTCATTTAGCAACTGTTTTGCACGATTTACAGTATGGTTGAAAACTTTTTTTTTTGGAAACGGCCGAAAATTCATGCGCGCGCGGATGTCATCCATATAATCAAATCAACATGGCCTTATTGGAAATTAATTGGATCTATGTATTCATCTTCACACAGCCTTCTCCCAGATCCCACCTCCACTAGGTAAGTACATTGTATATTGTATCTCAATATTTCATATTTGAGTAAAATGGCAATAAGTAGCAGAAAACCATTATTGAAATCATTTTAAGAACAATGTATGCAGTCACGTACTATCATACCTACCAAACAGACTGTATCGTCCGTAGAATTGTACACATTTGTATTTTTACACCGTTTATCATTCTGTTCACGCCTGAACTAAAGGTAAAGTTTCGATGACATTTCGATATTCGGTTGGGTTGATCTAAAACGATTTATCCAATATCTGCAGCAGCTGTAAATGATATCTAGCAACACTTATTAATACTGTTTCATAAGACACTTTAATTTTGATTCCAGTTGGAAAATTCATAAAGTAATTCAATGACTAGTAGCGTAACTATCTCATCAAAGAAGGTGCTTTGTCATTAATTGCTTTATATTTGATCTTTTACTTTTCAGCCACCACCTGTCCTTACCCAGTAGACCTGGTTTTCCTCCTTGACAGCTCAGAGAGTTTCAGGACACTCGGTTTCGAGGACGCGAAGACGTTTGTCCAGAATGTAGTCAACTATTTTACACTTGGTGAAAACGACAAGAGGGTCGGTGTTGTTACGTACAGCAACGAAGACGAGCAGGTTACCCGTATTAAACTAAATAACAATTACACCAGAGTCGAGCTCTTCAATGAAATTCGCAACATTCCGTACGACAGAGGCCATACCTTTACAGGACTTGGTCTCGATCACGTGCGTAACTATTCTTTCCTCGAAGAAAACGGCCGACGGAATAGTACTCTTGACTTTTTGATCCTATTAACCGACGATGAATCTGAGGACGACGTCAGCGGCCCGGCACAGCTGCTACGCGACATGGGCGTCTTTGTGTTTGCTGTGGGCGTTGGCGAGGAAAGCGACGTTAGTCAGGCTACTCTAGTGACTATTGCTGGAGATCCGCGCAGGGTGTTCAGACTGACGGACCACGATTTCCTGGAGCAAGACGCGCGTGCCGCACCTATAAGGGAAATATTTGTATGGGTGAGTACCACGGATGTCCCATTTTATTTCAGAATCTTGTCACACTTCTGCGTATCGTCCTGCGTATGAGTCCCGTGCGGTCAATTCTTTCATACGCAGCCGTACGCAAAATGCGCTCGTCATATGCATCTCAGTCGTTTTCTGTAAGTTTGTAAACACCAGCATACGCACAGCACAAGCGCCGCCCGGCTCAGTACGCAGCGTAGTTTGGAGCATGTCCAAAACTACGCTGCGTGCGCTGTTACGCAGGTCATGCGTTATAAATACGCAATGTATCGGTCAAGCACGGTATGAGTACGCTTTGTGTTTGGGAGGGACACGTGGCTCATACGCTGATCTGCACCTGGAACTGCACATATGTATTAGCTGCGTATAATGGACGAATGTATTTCATACTTATAGCGTTTGGGGTACCACCGGGGTGCCTGTTCCTCAAGACCCCATGCCATGGTATACAGACCTATTTGATTATTTTACGTAAGATGTGACAAAAAATGAAATCAAGAGTTGAATAATCTGTTAAGATTGGCTCTTTCTAAAATGTTTTGCCGAAAGGTAGATGAATATTGGAAAAAAAATCTTTCCCAGAGCGCAGTATGTTTTATACGTTATCAAAAATGCATTTGTACACTTTTTAACACAAAATAGGACACATGATAGGACGGGTCTTTTTGCATATTATTAATATATCTATATGTAACACAAAATATATGTCTTTTTGTTGCATTTACTTCATGATAATACGTCAGTTGCCTTTTTTGTCCGAGAAAATGTGTAGTGTACGTAGATCGGTACAACATAGTTTATGAAAAATAAACATTTAGGGGCATAAAAGCCATGGGCAAATATAAACTCATTGTCCTGAAACATCTAAAGATGATGGACTTATGACAGTAGCCGCTTTGAACTCACGCTTTTAATACACGGAATAAGATTTATAATTCACAAAATTGTAGTGTCCGCAGAGATGTGTAGTATTCATGCTATCTGTGTTCATGCGCAATTGTGAATTGACAATTGTCTGTATTGCAAGTATGGGCACTTTTATTGTTTTCAAATTAGTAAAGGGTGGTATTTCTTTTTATCTCCGACTCATTAAGGCTTTTAACGGTCTTACTATAAATTTTGTATAAAGTCCGGGTACGAGTATTCAATATACCTGTCAAAAATATCACTGGGAATTGATGACCGAAGTTAGGGCGAAATGGAAACAAACACATTTAACTGAGTTGAGGGCGGCCCGTTATTAGAAGGACTCGCTTCGAATATAACAGCAGAAAGCAGCAGGAAATACGTGAGACATGCGGTGGAGGTGCGTTAGGCATGCGGTGGGCATGACTTGGCTGCGTGCGGAGTACGCTTAGCTTGCGCACTACATTCGAAACTATTTGCAGCAAGACAACTAGCGTTGCGCAATTCATACGGCAAACATATGCAGCTGATGCGCTGGATCCGTTACTTATACGCTACGTTTGCGTCACAGTAACCATGCGTATTGTGCGTACGGCAGAAATGTCTATGCGCAACTCATACCACGCACTAGTGATACGCAGAAGTACTTGTTCGGATCTATCTGCCAGTACAGATCTGGCCTGAAATTGTCCCAATTTTAATTATATAAGAAAATTCTGTGTTCGATGCGTGGTATCGTTTAAAATCCCTATCCTTTGTGATAAAAAATGATTTATATTGTAAAGATTCTACAAACAGCCGGAAACAGCAGGAAATACACCAACAATACGCTTGGTATTCGTTATATGTGCGTTAAGCATGCGGTGGGCATAAGTTGAGTGCGCCTGAAATACGCTTAGCCTGCGCACTACATTCGAAACTATTTGCAGCAAGACAACTAGCGTTGCGCAATTCATACGACAAACATAATGCAACTGATGCACTGAATCCGTTACTTATACGCTACTTTTGCGTCACAGTAACCATGCGTATTGTGCGTAAGGCAGAAATGTCTATGCACAACTCATACCTCGCGCTGGCGATATGCATAGTATGCATTTGCATAGTTGGCCATGCATATGCATAGTTGGTCGGATCTAGCTGCTAGTACAGATCTGGCCTAAAATTGCTCCAACTTCAATTATATCAGCACATTCTGTGTTAGACGCGTGGTATCGTTTTAAAACCCCTATCCTCTGCGATGCATATGCTTTATTAGCTGTAAAGAGTTCAAAGAAAAAAGTCTTTTCTACATCATTCCAAGATAGAATACAACGTTGACGACGTGTACCAGCATGAGTGTGTGCATATCCTAATTTTGATTTCTTTCCTGCTTTGACTACCTTTTTACTTGATTACAGCCACCCAATGTCCGACTTTGACGGCCCCAGCTAACGGAGCGCTCAGTACCACAGCGACCTCCTACCTGACCGTGGTCACCTTCACCTGTAACCCGGGATACGTACTGACCGGCGCTGCTAATACGACGTGCCAAGCTGACATAACATGGAGTAATCCTGTTCCAACATGCACACGTTAGTCGACTTCTGATTTAATTTTCTGATAGCAGGTTTCATTAAACTAATACTTGTAAGTCAGCCAAATACTTGCTAACACAGAGTAACTCTGTTCCAATTGAAAGGCGTAAGACGGCTTTAATACAAAACAGAATCCATATCTGTTATTTTCTTGTATATTTTATTTATGTATGCCTGCAGGGCACATTGAAAAACGCCTTAGTGGCGATATGTACACCCTGGGTAAACAAATAAAAACAAACAAACAAACCAAGAAGGGAAAATCCATTTCATTCTTTTTTTGACCTTGAAATTAAAAAAATAAAATTTCACCAAATTGCCGCCTTTTTGCCTGGTAATTGACAAATACAAGAAGCTGATATATAGATATTCACTACATATCAAGTCAACTCCCTCATTTATAGTTTTGATTTTTCAACCATGTTAAGGGGATTTCTTGAACTTGAAGGGGAACTTCCATTCAATGACCCAAAGACTGGCACTTTAAGTCTTTTTGCAAATTTCAAGAAAAAGAAACACTATACTATACTAGCCTGCACTATAGTGATGGTGATGAAAGCATGATTTTCCAGGTCTACTGACGGCAGCAGTTTATTATATGGAAAGTGTACTCCGAATATAAGTTTTTTTTTCAGAATTCCGCAAAGAAATATTGATTCACCACATAGATGAACATGTTTACTCAGCATAAGACATTTTTATGCACATGTTTAACAGGTAGTTTTTTTTTTTTTTTTACTTTCGATTGCAGTGGTTCAATGTCCGGTTCGGGCGGCCCCAGCTAACGGAGCGGTGAGTCCTACCGGAGCGAACTTCTACCTGACCGTGGTCACCTTCACCTGTAACATTGGATACACACTGAACGGCGCTGCTGCTGCGACGTGCCAATCTGACGGAACATGGAGCAATCCTGTACCAACATGCCAAGGTAAGATGACATGCAACTTGATATTTTCTATCAAATACATTGTCCCTCGATTTGTAGTATACAGACACTTACTTTTCATTTCAGTGGTTGAGCGTCCGGCTCGGCCGCCTGCAGCTTACAGAACAATGAGTCCTACTGGAGTGGTCATTTTGTGTTGGATGGGTTGACTCCTTAAAAATTCCCTGTGTAGGGCAAACAATATTTTCAGCTGTAAACACAGTTGAAAGAGACAAAATTCCCTACCTCATTTCAGGCTGAGAGAAACTAAGAAGTATGACGGCGTGTACTGAGATCAAAATACACGTTTCCGACTCCGCTGTGTTTTTCTTTCCTGCTTTGACAAAAAGGACGTTCTTCTCCATTGCAGCGGTCCAATGTCATATTCGGGCGGCCCCAGCTAACGGAGCGGTGAGTCCTACCGGAGCGGTATCCTACCCGAACTCGGCCACCTTCACCTGTAACTCGGGATACACACTGAACGGCCAAGCTACTCCGACGTGCCAAGCTGACGGAACATGGAGTCATCCTGTTCCAGCATGCACGCGTAAGATCACTTAGACACTGTTGAAATTTCTCGCAAAATGTAGTTTTATATAGCTTTGCACCATTACTATACTAGTGAAAACATAAGAGTGGCTCATTCCAATATTCAATCATTAGCAACCCAGACGTTTTCTAAATATGTAAACGTACCTCATGTCATATACATGAGGTACGATGAGCGATCTAAATTGTAGTTCTGTGCGCTATGAAAGTATACTGTAGAAACAGCAAGAAATGCAAAGCGTAATATTAATACAATTCATTCTCCATCAATAAAATAACGTCCTTGGTCTTGATCAATCTGTCGCTCAGTGGTCGCAGCCTCTAGTCAAAGAGCTGTAATGGACGTCGTAATTACATGCATTTTTAGAACAGTAGAAGCTTTTTGTATACTAGTCAGCGCAAATAGTCTAGATGTCTGGCTGATCCAAATCTGGTACACGGAACCTAAAGGGCCTCTTGGGCAAGTTTATGTCAAGAAAGATCGACTCGTAACCTGCATGTACTTGTCCTACGCAGAACCATTCACTTTGTGATTTTATTGGCAGTTTTGACATGAAGTGCAATTTCTAGCAAAATGTATTTATATACATTAAGAGACTTCTTTGAATGTTTTAATGCAATAACTAGTCTATCAATGGTTTGTCGATCAATGAATCTTTAGTACACAGATATGAAAACCTAACTATTTCCTTATTTCAGCCAGAACATGTGCGAAAAGAACTTGATTCTACAAACGTTTGACAGATATCTAGTTGCTTGTCAAGAGTAACTGTTTTCTTGTGGAAATCACGAGACCTTTCTATATTCAAAACATGATAGACACAGGCATATCCTTCATGTAAGATCAAAAGGCGTAATTTCTCCAATCTTCAGAGGGTTATTATTGACCATTTCAGTTGTACAATGTCCGGCTCGGGCGGCCCCAGCTAACGGAGCGGTGACTCCTACCGGAGCGGTCTCCTACCCGAACGGTGCCACCTTCACCTGTAACTCAGGATACACACTGGGCGGCGTTGCTACTCCGACATGCCGAGCTGACGGGACATGGAGTCATCCTGTTCCAACATGCACACGTAAGATGACTTTGACACTGACAGATACACGCTTAAACTATAGTGGTGAGAGTATATGTAAAGATGGCCCGTTTTAATTTCCAAACGTTGACAAACAAGTGTGTACTAATGGAGGCTCGCTCAATGTACTTTTAGACCATAGAAGAAAAAAACGATTTCTCAAATAGATGTAATTGTACATCTATCTAACATCTATTTAACAACTATATAACTGTAGCAGGAAAACATAATCTAATGTGATCACATGATTTCATTTCTAGCTGTATATTTGACAGGAATTGTACTTTTCATTGCAGAGGTCCAATGTCCACCTTTGACGGCCCCAGCTAACGGAGCGCTCAGTACGACAGCAAGGAATTACAATACCGTGGTCACCTTCACCTGTAACACGGGATACAACAGGAATGGCGCTACTTCTGCGACCTGCCAAGCTGACGGAACATGGAGTAATCCTGTTCCAACATGTAGAGGTGAGATGAGTTTGACAGTCATAAATACAGTCAGTTTTAGCCATTAAAATGTGGTATTTTAGTGCCCACCCTATTTTGGTGGAAAAGTACGAAGGGTAGGATCTTTTCAAGATTCAAATGTTGTCAAAGAAGTTTTTTCTGACGGAAGTCGTTCCATTTGACTTCAGTGCATTGTATTTTGTACATAGTACCTATATTATTTGTATCACTCATTTGTCAGGATAATTACTGTACCTAGGTATCTGAACATCAATATTTCGCCGTTTCAGTTGGACAATGCCCGACGCTGACGGCCCCGGCTAACGGAGCTATCAGTACCACAGCGACTTCCTACAATACCGTGGTCACCTTCACCTGTAACACGGGATACAAACGGAACGGCGCTAGTTCAACGACCTGCCAAGTCGGAACATGGAGTAATCCTGTTCCAACATGCACACGTAAGACGAATTCGGTACTACTATACGCAAAAAAATTCTAGCGAAATGAACTTTTGACGCCTATACTATAGTGGTGCGGATATGGGAAGGATGGGCCCTTTCAACATTTGATCCTTGAAAAATAGACGTCTAATTTCGATTGGTGACGTCGCTTTATATATAATTATGTAGAACCTATAATGCCTGCAAGATAAGTTTGTGTCGAGTAAGGTCGATTCCTCACCAAGAAATAAGTATCCTACTGGAATATATACATACATTAAATTTGTGTGTTTGTGATATAGATTGTTTCTGTTCGTACTTTCCCTTGCAGCGGTTCAATGTCCAGCTCGCGCGGCTCCAGCTAACGGAGCGGTGAGTCCTACCGGAGCGGTCTCCTACCCGAACGGGGTCACCTTCACCTGTAACACCGGGTACCGACTGAACGGCATTGCTGCTCAGACCTGCCAAGCTGACACATCGTGGAGTAATACTGCTCCAACATGCGAACGTAAGACGACCTGTAAAGATTTTATTCCGCCAATCGCAATGTCCATCGAGTTGTAGTATGCATACATCCATTGGGTATCAAGGGGAATTAGAAGAAAAGAGCGAGACACGTGGATGACCATTACTCAATATTAAGAAAACTGGCAGGCGTTTCAAGCAGCATCCAGTATTTTGTCAGTGACGAAAAGAACTTGATTCTATAAACGTTTGACAGTTATCCAGTTGCTTGTCAAGAGTAACTGTTTTCTTGTGGAAATCACTAGACCTTTCTATATTCAAAACATGATAGACACAGGCATATCCTTCATGTAAGATCAAAAGGCGTAATTTCCATTTCAGTTGTACAATGTCCGGCTCGAGCGGCCCCAGCTAACGGAGCGGTGAGTCCTACCGGACCGGTCTTCTACCCAAACGGGGTCACTTTCACCTGTAACACGGGGTACGGTCTCTCCGGGGCCGCTACCCTGACCTGCCAAGCTGACGGAACATGGAGTCATTCTCGGCCAACATGCCAAAGTATGTACCATATATTTAAAACTGCCTAATATTACAGGAAAAATAAAACATCACTACTTTCACAATGTTTTAATACTGACGAACTGACGAAATATCATTTAACTAGAGAAGTAACATTTGCAAAGCAAATGCATAATGTTTACCTTCAGACTCGGTCTGCCCTGTTAATTTTTACTTTAACATATCCACACATTTAATACATGTACTACGAGTATATGGTGACAGGAGCAGAGCAGACCATGAAATTGCAACATTATGTAACCCAACACCAGTCACCATGGTGACAGACGTCAACAAATGATGCCATTGGCCAGGTCAGAGGTTAGTGTTTGGAACATAATAGGAGGAAGAAACTGAGTAAAAACAATATGTTTTCCTTCCGTAAACATAATGATTTAGGTGGTCAGTGTCCGACATTAACTCCCCCATCTAACGGAACTCTGAGTCCTGTCGGAGCGACCTCCTACCGGGACGTGGTGACGTTTACCTGTAACCAGGGGTACGAACTGGTGGGAACCTCCACTGTGACGTGCCTATCCAATCTAGCATGGAGTCATGCTGTTCCAACATGTAGACGTGAGTCATAACATATTAAGAACATGCGTTTTTAATCCGAAATCTTAGACATCTACACCTGCCCAGTTCATGACTATAATACATTTGCATTTTTCTGACCTGTACTTAACCCAGTGGTGATTTGTGTACAATAAACGTTTTAGCTCATAAATTCATTGTAGACAATAGTGCAAATTTCCAATGCACAACGAAATTTGTAAACAAAAGGTCAATGTTCAATCTTATTCAATATTTGCATGTTTTCTTTATCATCATTATTAGCTGTACAATGTCCGTCATTACTTGTCCCTGCTAACGGAGCGGTGACTCCTACTGGAGCGGTCCCCTACCCGAACTTGGTCACCTTCACCTGTAACTCGGGATACGTACTGACCGGCGCTGCTACTGCGACGTGCCGAGCTGACGGAACATGGAGTAATACTGTTCCAAGTTGTAGAGGTGAGATGTGATTGTAATTAATTGAGTAAACGAAAGTATACAAAACTGCTGATTGTTGATAAAGAAAGAAAAAAAGATCTAGATTAAATACTATGTACTTTCTATTAGTTCATTAGAGTTTTACGTTATCCTTTTAAAATGTTACTCAGTTACAGTTACACACAAACACAAACACAAACAAACACACACATACACACACATACACACACACACACACACACACACACACACACACACACACACACATGAATGCCACCAAAAGATTCTTGGCTAAGGTAATCAGGTGCAAAGAAACTTATTCTTTATGTTTCCACCTTCAGATATAGATGCATGTTTGGCTAATCCGTGTGTGACAGAGGCCACCTGTACAGATAACCCCGCTCCTGCCCTGGATGCTACCTGTACCTGTAACCCTGGATATACAGGAGATGGTCACATTAATGGAACCGGATGTTCAGGTATCTGTTGTGACAAACCTTTGGACCACTAGCATTGAAATTGTAGAAACATCGTATAATATACATGTACATGTACATGTTGCAATGTTTCAAATTGCCTTGGTTTAAGAGCTGACATTTCGTGTCCAAACAAAAAGCTATCTTACTTTTAAAAAGGACTCACACTCAGTCAGACTCATACTTAGCAGACTAAGATACGGTGTCTAAATGTTTATGTAATGGACAGCTTTTCCTTTATTTGCTTCTAACTTTTAATATATACAAACATCAGATTAATGATGTATGCATCATTTTATCTCTAGCTTCAAGTTTGCAATGTCCGGCGCTGTTGGCCCCAACTAACGGAATACTGAGTCCTACCGGAGCGACTTCTTACCAGACCGTGGTCACCTTCACCTGTAACCAGGGGTACTTGCTAGACGGAGCCTCTAGTGCGACGTGTCAAGCTGACGGAACATGGAGTCATCCTGTTCCGACATGCAGAGGTGAGATATTATGAGTTTGATGTAGATATATGTTCAAGCAATCTTCATTGTGGGGTCGTGTGGCGCAGTCGGTAGCGCGTTCGGCCCTCACCTAAAAGGTCGCGGGTTCGAATCCTGACCATGTCACCGATCTTGTGCCCTTGGGAAAGGCACTTTACACGACTTTCCTCACTTCACTCAGGTGTAAATGAGTACCTAGCTTCGGTCAGGACGTCTCTCGGATAGGACATTAAACGGAGGTCCCATGTTTGGGGAGAGCCACACCCCACACATGTTAAAGAACCCACCGCACTTATCAAAAGAGAGATCTTTCCGGTGTGAGTGGTTCAAACCACTTGTGATCAAACCTTAAGTTACAGTCCGGTCTTACGCAGCTTGTACATGTGCGTACATGTACAAAACTAATGTGTTAAAGGCGGTTTACCGGTTATGCGAAACAAACAAACAAAATAAATAAAACGGAGAATTTATCGAAATTAAGATGCCTACTTATCAGGCTAACAACGCGGCTACTCTCGTTGTATGTCGCCGTGCGATTTTAAAGTAGCACAATGCCTTAGCAGGCTGTGATAAAACCTAACATGAATCTACGGCAACCTTTAGTGTATCATGACAGATGCATTTTGTAGGGCACAATTCTAAGAATACGCGTATTTCTGAATCGATGAATAGCAAAGTTCTTTCACGAGCCGACGTTTCGAAGGCTGTCTGTCATCTTCATCAGGGCAATTCTGACTGGTTTGCTGTGCACTGACACTGGATGTTACTTGGTGCATAGTGCACTAAAGGTGTTACATAGTTCACATTGCACTGTTACTTGGTTCACAGTGCACTTAAGCTAGTTTTTACTGTTAACAATGCATTTCCGAACATAGTGCAATTGTGAAATACATACTAGGCATTGTTACATCATAGGGACATATGCGGTTCCAAATGTAACGTCGGCTCTTAAATGGTTGTGATTAAAGAACTTTGCTATTCATTCGTTTACCAACCTGATGAAATTATTTACGGACGCGTATTACAAGTTTGCGATCCTATGGTGAATGCGACCTTATCCTATAGCTAAGCCAGCAATATCATAATTTTCACAGCCCATACAGTAGTTTTAGCTGCTTCACTATTCGTGCAATATTCATAAAAGATTATGAATTACACTGTACTGTTGATCATGATTTAATGTTTTTGCAGATATCAACGACTGCAGTCCCAACCCGTGTAAAAATGGCGGAGTTTGTACCGATCTGGGAAACAGCTTCCAATGCACATGTGCAGCTGGCTATGAAGGAGATACTTGCCAAACAGGTGACTTTAAGAAATATATCTTCATTTTATACGTCTTAATGCTTTCTGTAATTCCCAGTACATGCAAAAAACCCTGCCTTACATTTTCAGTACGCTGTTGCTATTTTTCGTTTGGATTGTCTCAAAGCAGTAAGGGTAAGACTGCCTCTATCATGTCCATGTTTGTCCTGTCCCGATAAAGATACCGAAAATGATGCTGTGTCCCACTAAGTGAAGCAAATTGAAACAGAAGTTAGTTTTGCTCACTTGTCGAGTACAGGCAAGAATTCTCTCTTGGAATCGGGTAGTATTTCATGTTGGTATAAAATTTATTGTTTTGATATTATTTAATCATCACCAGCTTCTTGATTCTTTGCAGATATTAACGACTGTATTCCCAACCCGTGTAAAAATGGCGGAACTTGCACCGATCTGGTCAATGACTTTCAGTGTTCATGTTCGGCTGGCTATAGTGGAGATACTTGTCAGTCAGGTACGTCACTGTACATTATTACATAGGCGTCTTATTACCCTCCATGAAAATGGGGGTACTGTTTTTACTCCGTTTCATGTTTGGTCTGATATCTGAAGATCGGTGAGAAGGAACTGTACGATATTTGGCAGATTGATGGATGGGGCCTTGGAGATTGTGTAGGTTGACTTTGAGCCCCTGGTGATTGACCTTGGTACTGCAGTTTAATTTTTTAATCTGTTGTTTTCGCGTTATGGACTGTTTGTGCGATATTAAGGTAGCATGTAGTTGTTATTACCATGGTTTAGTGGTTTAAATTTGGGTCCCCTAGCTGTTTGCGTTTGATATTTACAAAATGTTTAATGTTGGACTTTTTGTGTTGAATGTTTGGAAAATCTAGGGGATGGTTTGGTATGATTTTTGGTATGTGGGTAGTTGTTGAGTCTCTTTGTGTTTTGGAGTGCATTAGCAGGTTGTCGCATATTTTTATTGCTTGATTTAAAAGGATTTTCACTTTTTCACCCCTACTTCATAATAGGATGGTCTGTTTGACCCAAAAGTTGGGACAGAGTGTTTTTGTTTATACCTCCAGCTGGTAGGTCAGACCCAGGCAGCCCTATCTATTTTTACCCCTATAGAGTCTGCAGGAAAATAAATCTTGTTTGTCTGGTCTGCAGGTCATTTGTCTGGTCATTGACCTACATGTACAGGCAAATGTAGCCTGGGTACCATCCCCAGTAGTATATTCGCAAACTCTATAACAGTTTGACTCATAATATCTCTATTGAAATACACCAAAAGATTACAAAATAACAAGCTATTTCATGGAGGGATGATGTCTACGACTTCTCCTTGTTGTTACAGTATTCTGTCTTTGGTCCATATGTTTGTAATTTGTATTTACATCCTTGTATAGCTCTAAAGCTACATGTATAGGATGGGTTACATCCTATGTTTTCTGTATCTGTATCTGTATAGCCGGTATAACCGCTTTTTGGCGTAACACACCAGTTTTAGGTGTCCGCCTTTTACATTTTAAGAACAACGGTGATTGGTTATGAGTTGTCGGATACTAAAACCCAATGATTGTAAAAGAATCCTCTTGTGAGTTTCTTGTTAATCTGATGAGATTGTTCACGGAGCATGAACAAGATGCCTACATTGCATCGCTAATTAAAAACAAAACTATTTCGGCCTGTAGAATGATAGTAGCCGCGTGCCTGCTAAGCTGGTGTGTTACGCCGAAGGGCAGTTATACCTGTTATACTGATACAGATAGTGACAATATTGCATAGTTGGGTTTTATGCCAATCTACTTATGACGAGGTCACATGCTTGACTTTACAGACGGGACTCCTTTTGGAGTCTGGACTTTAGTAGGTACAGCAGTGGGCTGTCTTGTCGCCGGAGTTCTGCTAGGGGTCGCTGCTTTATTCCTCATTCTACGCTGCCGTAAAGCAAAGAGCAAGACATACGACACAGGTGCTGTATTAAACAATGTGTTAACCGTTTAAACGTTAACAAAGACAGTTAAAAAACATAAATTGTTCTGTTATTTTTTGTTGGACTTGAAATGCGCGACCATTTAACTAATAGATAGAAACTATAGAAACAAAGCCATCCGTATTTAGTAGAATCCGCTATTTCCTGCACCTTGATTTTCAAAATGTGTGAAATTGTAATGAGGAATATTCAGACTGCACAGCACCATTCTGAGTCGGAAATTACAGTTCAACGTTGTTTTTTGTTTAATAATCTATTGTAAGACCTTCTAGTGTTGGACAACTATAGTTCACTACTCATCCATGAACAAGGTATCTATAAGTTATCCAGGTAATAATAAGTAAAAGCTAAATATGCAGGTAAAATGTTAGATATCCAGGTAATAAAAAGTAAAGGTTGCAGAAGAAACTGGATAGATTTTTAAACTTTAAGATGTTTCAGGCAGTATCCAATATATTTCCATTTACTCAGACGAAATGCATTTTGTGCTACCTAAAACGTCTGACAGTTTGCATTCAAAATCTATGCGGTTGCTTGTCGTGACTGTGCAATTGTTAATTTCAACTTCATTTTGAAAATGCCAATGTTTAGCAGAAGATGTGTACGAAAGCGTCAGGACTCCAGGAAGGGCGGCGTCCCAGCGATCCGGAACCGGAAGTGACGCGTACTACTCCTATCCCATGGTGCCCCGGCCGCTTCCCCCTCCCCTTCCCAGCCAGCCTCGCGGCCATTACCAGAACCTGAGACCAGCGGTGTACCAGGGTCTACAGACGGACAGGGGTGCATCACTTCCACCTCAGAACAACAAGGGACGAAAAGAGATCTCGCATAATTTTACGTAGTTTCTGATATCACTTTCTGATTGCTTGTTCCAAATATGTTTAATATATTTCACTCTACATAGGTTTATCATACTCATATACAGTACTAAGTCACTGAGTAGGGCTACCCTGGTTAAAGAACACAGAAGATAAAAAAAAATTGCCTAATACCGAGATTTCTATCAATAGTTGTAAATAATAAACAGCACGTTGACATGTTCAATCCATGCTTTGTACACATGGGCCAATATCTAAAAATGACCTAAAAGGCTACAAATTTTCACATTAGCTGTTAGGTATATTCGCATTCCATACTATGCATTTTTTTAAAAAGTACTTAGTGTCATTGTATGTTTAGTTAATATCTCACACGATTGCTAAACCAATATGGTTTCCAGACAGTATTCAGTGTCTTAGATGCGAATTTTACGAGAATATTTCGTAAAATAACATCGTTGACTATTGTATATCCGCATGATCGAATTTTTTATGAGGGTTCTCTAGATGGCGCCTTGGTACAAACTTTGTACATTGGTTTTGAAATAAGTTTTTATTTAACAACTGCTCCATAACATTAAAGACAACTTGTGTTTTGCAACCAGCCAAATGAATTATTTGCGTGCAAAACAAGTGTTGACCTCCTGATAACCAGTATCTCTAATTGCTATTTGACCTAATTGATGCCTCGAACACTTGGCAGTCTAGGATATGTACAAGGCAGATGTTAGAAAAGTTAAAGGAGAACCATATAAAATTATTCGTCATAATTGAATTGCTAATGGCATCTTCGTCGGTAAAAGGTGTCTACACGTATACCTGCCTCTACTGTACAGTTCTAAAGTAGTTTATCAGCAGATGGGCTCGGTCTTTAACATGTAATCGGGCATTACACGCCGGCCACAGAACAAGAAAAACCAGGTCGGAGGTTCTCCTGATTTACATAAGGCCACACCAAGCAAATTTTATGGATGACGTCCTTTGGAGACCCTAAATCTAATGCGAGAGGGCGAAAAAAAAACAAGAAGGGCCCTAAAAAACAAGATGACTAGATTAGAAATATACTAAGAGACGACAAATGTTAGGACACAAATTGAATGAGGTGACACAAGCAAGAAGTCTTTTATTCATCATCAAAACAGCAATAAATCAGGTGGAACAGCACTTGTCGTCTTGTGCTTTGGGGAGATAGATGGAGCATTCAGCAAGTTTCCTCAAATGTGGCAGCATGTACCAAACTGATTTCCTTGCTTGATGCTTCAAAAGCTTTGGTCCGTACAAAGCTATTTGCGGCACTGTCGTGACTCTTTTGTCATAGTTACAGGAAGCAGAATTTTTTTTCTAGGAACAGGCCAAAATCAATGCGTGCGCGGACGTCATCCATAAAATTTACTTAGTGTGGCCTAAGAACAAAACACAATGACGATAGGAAGTCATCCAATCACTCGGTAAATCACACAACTTGAGCCACGTAGACTATCTGGTTAACCGGGGATTTAAGTCTCTACAAGATGACAGCATTTTTCACTCTTTTCGCCGATCGCCTTCTTGTTGGTAAGTAGCTTTGGAATAGTAGGATTTATCGATGTCACTGTAACAGTTGAGACGTAACCATTGTATTCATACAATGGTAGAGTTTGAACTGCCTGGCGTGTTTTTTTGTATGTGGTACTTTTGGAAGAGTCCATTCTTGCAGGAATGGGCCTGTGGCAGTGCTGCCCATTAATGTAACAAAAGTAATCAAGTCTTCTGTCTCCTGAAGACAAGTCTTCGAACTTCAAGCTTAAGAGACTTGAGTCTGTTCTTATTCCAAGGGACTCGCTTCGTTGCCCTTTTCTGGACTTGTTGGATCACTGGTAGTGTTCTGTTTGCACATATAGTGGAGCTCCATATTCGAGATGCTGTCTTACCAAGGTTTCAAATAAAAAGAAGAGCGTTTCTTGGTCAATGAACTAAAATGGCCTCTATAATAGTCCTGGAAACTGGTTTGCCTTGTTTGCTATCACGTGGATATGCGTTTTAAAATCTAAATCGTTGTCAACCAGTATCCCTAGATCATTTTCCACGGAGGTAACTGCTAAAGAAATTCGTTACACATTGTATACCCCAAGACTGCGTTCCCTTTTTCCAAGGATATTTTTTTGTAAAGTTTTCGATTCACATTGAGGGTTGGAAAACACTGGAGACATGGTTTTAGAAGAAAAAAATATCATTTGATGCTGCCCAAAAATTTAAGTACTATGTACTAATTGACGTAATTACTGCGTGAAGCAAAAAGTCAGTCTTATCAAACCTGTAAAACCACATATGCAAGGTACTCTCCAAGCAGAAGAAGTGTTGCCCTCCTGATGACCAGTATATCTAATTGCGAGTTGACCTAATTAATGCCTCGAACACTAGGCAGTCTATGATATGCACAAGGCAGATGTTAGAAAAGTTAAAGGAGAACCGTATAAAACCATTCGTCATAATTGAATTGCTAATAGCATCTTCGTCGGTAAAAGGTGTCTACACGTATACCTGCATCTACTGTACAGTTCTAAAGTAGTTTATCAGCAGATGGGCTCGGTCTATAACATGTAATCAGGCATTACACGCCGGCCACAGAACAAGAAAAACAAGGTCGGAGGTTCTCCTGATTTACATAAGAACAAAACACAGTGACGATAGGAAATCATCCAATCACTCGGTAAAACAGACAACTTGAGCCACGTAGACTATCTGGTTAACCGGGGATTTAAGTCTCTTGAAGATGACAGCATTTTTCACTCTTTTCGCCGATCGCCTTCTTGTTGGTAAGTAGCATTGGAATAGTAGGATTTATCGATGTCACTGTAACAGTTTAGACGTAACCATTGTATTTATACAATAGTAGAGTTTGAACTGCCTTATACGTGTTTTTTTTTGTATGTGGTATTTTTGGAAGAGTCCATTCTTGCAGGAATGGGTCTGTGGCATTGCTGCCCATTAATGTAACAAAAGTAATCAAGTCTTCTGTCTCCCCTGTAGACAAGTCTTCGAACTTTAAGGTTAAGAGACTTGAGTCTGTCCTTGTACTAATAGGTTCTTATTCCAAGGGACTCGCTTTGTTGCCCTTTTCTGGACTTGTTATAGCTCGATCACTGGTAGTGTTCTGTTTGTACATATAGTGGAGCTCCATATTCGAGATGCTGTCTTACCAAGGTTTCAAATAAAAAGAAGAACGTTTCTTAGTCAATGAACTAAAATGATCTCTATAATAGTCCTGGCAACTGGTTTGCCTTGTTTCCTATCACGTGGATATGCGTTTTAAAATCTAAATCCTTGTCATCCAGTATTCCTAGATCATTTTTCAGGGAGGTAACAGCTAAAGGAATTCGTTAGACATTGTATACCCCAAGACTGTGTTCCCCTTTCCAAGGATACTTTTTTGTAAAGTTTTCGATCCACATTGATGGTTGGAAAACACTGGAATAGAATAAGAGACATGGTTTTAGAAGAAAAAAATATCATTTGATGCTGCCCAAAAATTTAAGTACTGTACTATGTACTAATTGGCATAGTTACTGCCTGAAGCAAAAAGCCAGTCTTACCAAACCTGTAAAACCACATATGCAAGGTACTCTCCAAACAGAGGTTTGGGTTTGGAGTTATTTTTGGTATGTTTTTAGGCTTTTTTTTCGGGGTTTCTCTTCTGCACTGGAATTTTTTCCTCACCCAACCCAACAGGGTTTGGTGGGAAAAGATTTAGTGCAATGAAAAGAGAAACCCCGTAAAAAAGCATAAAAAACACGCTAAAATAGCCCCAAACCCAAACCTCTGCTTGGAGAGTATATGCAAGGTACGTATTGACGGAGGAGGCTTTAGTGTATTCACAAGAGAGAGACCGATTCCCCTGCTGTTTCTGTGATCTTAAACCACATTACCTTGTTCTGCGGGGAACATATATGTATAAAATGGTGTGTATACTAGTATATGGATTGCACATACAATATCACCCATACAGGGCCCTTTATATGCTAGGGTTGGGGGCATTTCTCACATAAACGCATCACACCGCACTGAATGCGGAAGTATTTCCACCACAACAACACAAATTATGTCAAGGGTTAATGTCTTGATTAAGTAATGAAGAAGAAGAAGAAGAAGTAATGAAATAATTGAAAAATACTGTGTAGAAACTATAGCAGGACCAAGGATGAGCTTTTCTATTTAATAATGGTGTCGTTGTCCCTCTTGATGGTCTTATTAAAAGCAATGTGAATCATAACGCGCTGAGGTTTTTCAAGCGATTTATAGTTTGAATCTGTGACAGATTTAGTCACCAGCACACGAATCGATGTACCTTTTCCTTCATTGTTAAAGTCTATCCAATATAACAGTTGGTGCAGTGTCCCATAGAGAGATTTCAATAGGCAGACTTCCTGTCTTTTAAATCATTGTCTTCGTTAAATATATGTTTTTGATTTGGACGTGGTGTGGGGCCGTATCTAAGTCGACGTTATAACTCGATTATTTGTCAGTGTTTTATTCATTTTTGGCGTGTTAGTAGCTATTGTGAAAATGTACTTCGAGTCAAAAATCGTTCACATGGCTTTTCCAAATCTAACAGCAGCCAGCATTTTGTGCATTTGTGGATTGTATGTATGCAGCCTAAGTAAAAAAAAGTCTGTGAATGGATTTTGATGATATTTGGTAAGTGTGCTATATGTATATGTTATAGAAACAAACATCAAGGTCAAAAATGGATATTCTACGCTGCTGCACTGAGTTCTGTATTTTTTGGGGGGTTTTGTTTGTCGACAACATAACTTGAGAAATCGGATGCTTGTTAATAGTATTTAGTGTTTGGGTACGGACATGACAGACGAAGGTCAAGTTCTAGAATGGGCCTTCTAGCGGCTTTTTAGATATTGCAGAGTAACGTTAAAATTAAAGGCAAAATTTTCCACATATGTCAGGTGAATGATTTTTGAGCAGTGGATAGCAATTATGGAGGGGAGCAAATGGTGTGATTTTGAGAGTCCTAGCAGCTGTTTATTCTAGTAACCGACCACATTTGAGGTTATGGCCTAATAACTGATGACAATTGGATCCTTTTGATTGGTCGACGCTAGTCTCTACCAGACTAAGTACGCTGGCTATATATAGGAGAATCTTTGCCAGTGGAGTTTGGCCGCCTTGTAGGTTTGACTTCCAGCGCTTGAGAGAAAAAGAAACTACCTCCCCGCGGCCGGACTCCGGTGCAAGCTGGGATAATCCTTCCGGCAACTAATTCAGTCTATCAGAAGTTCAGGGATGAAAAAGAAAATAAGCACAGAAAACAAATGCATTATCTCTACAGAGATACACAGTATATTCGTCTATAAGAGTGTTATTTCTTTTTACAATAGCACGTCTATTTTATTATTATGTTATTATTAACAACGTTTAGATAAACCTCTACATAATGGCAAATCTGTTTCAAGTAGCTACTCAACCCCCTTTATCGGCCTGTGACAATTTATCTTCCTCAAGCAAGCACTTGTCTTCTAGAACCACTGGGACGTTTTGACTGTACGGCTCTATCTTGTAATCTAACTAAAAGTAGACACATGGCGATATTTATATACCAGAATGCTCATTTATTTCTCCTTTTATCTCCAGAACAGGAGACAACATAACATCTGCACAGCAGGGTACATCAAATAATGCAACTGCTCAAGATCCAAGGAGTAGCGAGATTGTAGCTTTCTGATAGAGGTCATCAGCTACCGAGGTTAAAGCTTTCCGAGATTATCAGTAAGATTACGTAAAAAGAACATCATCGAGGTTGCAGCTTCCTGAAAGAGTGCATGCCCATCATCAAGCTACCAACTTCTTAAGAAATGGCGTTAGCGAGGTTGCAGCTAGCTGAGAAAGTGCACCACGAGGTTTCAGATTCATGATCAGACTGCATCAGCGAGGTTACAGCTTCAAGAGAGAGTGCATCAGCGAGGTTACAGCTTCAAGAGAGAGTGCATCAAGCGAGGTTGCAGTTTCAAGAGAGAGTGCATCAAGCGAGGTTGCAGCTTTAAGAGAGAGTGTGCCAGCGAGGTTGCGGCTTCATGAAAAAATGCACCAGCTAGGTTTCAGCTTCATGAAAGAGTGCAGTAGCAAGGTTGCAGCTTCGTAAGAGAGACAGCAACAGCGATGTTGCAGCTTCCTCAGAGAGAGTACCATCGAGGTTGCAGATATCGCTGCGAAATTATTGCTCCCTGAGCGAGGGTATCAGTGAGAATTCAGCATACCCAAATAGGGAAATCATCTGGTGATTGATCTTAATAAGTTCTCTTCAAACACACAGAGTTTAAAAGAACAGTCAGATACGTATACCTAATTAATTCCTCAAACAGATACTATGGCTATTACATAATGATTTAGAGGAATAGAAAGACGGAAGGACAAGAATTCCAGCTTAAGAACACTTGTCTATCACATTTTACACAACATGGCTGCTTTCTAACTTGCATTATTAAGCTAAAACATTTGCAATACGTGTGACGCCAGTCTTTATAATAGCGCGCTATCTGGCAACGTTGCGAGGATCAAATTTGCAAAAGAAACTGCAAGCACAAAGACAAGAGAAATGCCATCCACCGATAACACTGCCGAAGGTGAAAACGTTTCACGTACAGATGAAGAGGTATCGCCTTCATTCAAAGCAGCGAAAAGCATTTTGCTAACGGTCATGTCAGCCATTGCTATTTCTTTCGCTGGGGAGTTCGCAGCAATAATCAACACTTCCAAATTTCCAAATGCTTTTCTTAAAGCGATTTATTGAGCTTCTCACACTTATTCCCATCTTAGCATTCTGTCGACCGAAATTAACGGGTAAAACTAGACGCCAGAACATCATGTTGTTCATATTTTCGATTTCTACAAATGTCGTTATGATTGCGCACATGCTTTCTTTTGTCTACACGGTTCCTGGAATCGCGTTTGGTATGATGCAAGGTTTGATGCCTCTCTTCGTAGCCTGTGTCGGGTTTGTGTTCTTGAAGGAATCTCTGTTTCTCGCAGATGTTTGTGGGATTTTCATTAGCGTAACAGGGGTTGTTCTAGTGGTGGTAGGGAACACACAAGTAGAAGGGATGCCCACCAAACTACTCGTCTTGTCAATAGTAATTCCGCTAACTGCATCGTTTGTCTCAGCACCCAATACGGTCTTTATGAGGTACCTGACAGGTATACTAGAGGTGCCGATAGTCACAAGTATGTTGTACATGAATTTGGTAGGTTCAGTGGCATTACTAGGAATAACATATTCAGCAGAGACCCCAGTCTGGACAATGTCATTGCGTACAGCGTTATATGTGGTAGGACTGGGATGTTGCAAGAGTCTAAGCAACATTTTTTCCTTGCAGGCCTGAAAAACGTAAAGGCGTACATCTCAACTACAGTACGCATGTTTGTCATCCCGTTCACTCTAATACTGGACTACTTCTTTCTGCAGAAAGTACCAAATTCCTTCCATTTGGCAGGCGTGGTCTTGGTGATGGTGGGAATAGTGTTCGTTAGCGCGAAAACATGGCGGAAGGAACGTCAGAAGGAACGGAGAGTTGAACTTCTCCAAACACTCCAGTTTGACCCTGATTAAAGACATTACGGACATTAACTATAAAGAACAAAAAAGAATTGTGTTCCAAGGTTTTTTCTTTTCTAAATATCGTAAGAAAATCATCAGGAGGATCTGACAAATTATAAAAATAATATAAAGGCTTAATACTAGCAAAACATGGTTCAAGCATTTCTTTATGTGAACACGAATTTCATATGCGAACCGGAAAAGCTTCAACTTGACATGTCAGACACTTTTTTATATTTAAAGGATCATTTTTGCATATTGTAAGAAGAAGACAGTGTGTAAATTTTGGTTGTGTTCAATTATGGAATAAAACTGCATCATAAAGATGATTATGCAAAGGATGTTTCTATTGTAAACAATTCTTATACGGTTGAATTGTAGGTAGGTTTTAATTATTGATAAACCAATAACAACATTTAAACACAAACATACTGTACGAAACATGACACAAACTAACAGATAAATACACGACGATAAAGCTATAAAGCAAAACATAAATGGTGAAAATAATCACTGCAATATTTCTAAGAGTCGTTAGAATTTTAAAATTCGAACTTTCTTTTTTCCCACCCGACCTAAAAGAACTATAGAAACAAATCAACAGCATCAAACGTTATTCCGTGTAGTGATCAGTTCCTAACATCAGAATGAGCGCAGAGGTTTAAAAAAAGTAGCTATTTTGCTTCATACCACATCGATTAACTATTGCCAAAATACCTAGCTACCTTCTCAAAATCAAGACCATAGCATGTCCACATCACGAGATATTATACCAATTTCAGTTCCGCATATTTATGTAAGCTGGGAATAGTCATGTTAAAATTGAAAATGATGTACAAGGACGAAACAGGTAACACGTTGTTGCCATGGACAATCGGCAGTACTCCAAGGCTGCAGTCCCGCCACGGATTACTAGTCAGCACTTTTTGTACGATCATCTTGCTTAAAGGCTTCCGGCATAATCTCTTAGGCCACACCATGTAAATTTTATGGATGACGTCCTCGCGCGCATTGATTTTGGACTGTTCCTAGAAAAAAAAAAAAGAAATTCCGCTTCCTGTAACTATGACCAAAGAATCCCGACAGTGCTGCAAATCGTCAGATTGACGTGAAACCCGTAACGCGAAATGGGTAAAGGGCAAAAATGTGATGAAAGAACAGGACAGGACGACAACTGCTGTTCCACCTGATTTATTGCTATTTTGATGATGAATGTAAGACTTCTTGCTTGTTACACTGTGTCACCTCATTCAATTTGTGTCCTAACATAATTTTGTCGTCTCTTAGTACATTTTTAATCTAGGCATCTTGTTTTTTTAGGGCCCTTCTGTTTTTTTTTCACCCTCTTGCATTAGATTTAGTGTGTCTAAAGGACGTCATCCGTAAAATTTACTTGGTGTGGCCTTAAACAACTAAACAAGATTACAGAGCAACTAAGAACATTCGCATACAAAGCAGTCCATACTATGTTTTCAGAATCAACGTGAATTTTCTGTACATAATTTGAAATTAGATCTTATGATTATGTTGAGTGCTCTGCTATAATCCGAAAGGCAATGTATGTACAATTAAGCAAAGCAGCAATTCTTTCATAGATCAAATTTTACCCTGCTTGGAATTCTATGAAATGTGATTGCGAAATATTCTATGAAACAAGTAGGGTTCCACTTCCTGTAGCTTATCTTTCTTTTAAATTATGATATTTTTTTATAGTTCAACTTTTTACTGTAAAAATACCACGATGTAAAGAAGGATAACCTACAGTTTGTCAGTGGTTTCACTTCACACTTGAATATTATACTGTTAAGCTGATGCCTTTAACGTTTAACCCTTAATGTCGAATTTTGGTCACTTCTTAAAGGTTTATCTTCAGAAGATAAAATGAAAACATTCTGGAAACAACGGGTAGCCCGATTTCTGACATACGTCTTCGCTTACACTCAGTGTGGCAAAATCAGAAAGATGCGTTCGCTAGAAAAAAAATGGTGTTCTCAAGAAATCTTCTCCCACGTAGAAACCTTGAAACGTATTCCAAAAATAACGTAGTGTCTGCTACAATCGGCGGTGTAATTTTCTTTTCCCTGCCGCACGGAATGTATTGCCCAGCCGTATTGCCCCCCTTCTTGGACATGAGGGTTTGTTCGGTTGAGAGAGTAGGCTCTAAGAATAGAGGATGAAAGAGGCATTACAAACTCTGGATCTATAACGTTTTTTTCTGGGGTATTTGTGTTCAGGATTTTCCAATTGCATTAGATTTTTTCAGGCTTAAGTCCTGTGTTTCTTAGTACCTGGTGATGAAATTGTCAACACAATGGGGGGGGGGGCGACAATATGCCATTGTATACACCGGGTCTGTAAATAGTGAAAACACATTTGGATTTTGAATGTAAGCAATGGAATCATTCATACAAAAAACTTTAAGTATGTATACCTGTCATTAACAAAACTAAAGTAAATATTCTAAAATCTAAAAGATATTGCAGCTTCTAATGTTATGTTTTCGTTTTTCTAGTATTTTAAAGTATTTCAAAATGACAGAATGTGACTGTTGGATGTTGAAGAGACGGCGTTTTGTAATCTTGCACGCATGCCTATTCAATTTCATGTTTGAATATGTACAATGTTTTTGCATATCACTAGTCACTACTTCTTCGCAGTGGACAGGTGTTCATCTCTGTCAGCTATTTGACCCTTTGAATGCTTCGTGCTGCACTACATGCGTGAAATTTCTATATCGAAGACTTCATTTTACATGAAAAGGCTGGACGTACATGTATGTGACGGCGGCTGGACAGTGACGGTAACACAAGTCGTCATCTTTAAAACTTAAGAGAAAGACGGTGCGAACAGGTAGGGTCAGATACGTCATTTTATCTATCTTGAATAGTGAAGCTCTTTCATTCATAACAAATTGATAACAAAATAATGATTAAAGAACTGATAAATTATGATGAAACAAAAAAATGTATGAGAAGATATAAGACATAAATACTCATGAGTTTGTATAGAAACAAACTAAGGAGTAAAGAAGGGGTTTCTTTCTTTATTAGAAATGTCAAAATGGCACATATTTATATACGCCTGGGGGTCAATGTTGACCCAATACGGTTGTTTGAGAATTAACCACAGAGGATACTTTTTCAGAGCAGGCAAAAATCAATGCTCACGTAGATGTCATCCACAAAATTAAATCAAGATTGTATATATACCGGTTTCTTAAATTAATCTGGACAATTTTCTGTACATTTTTTTACAGATATTACAACAACAGTTCACCATGACCACAAACAAGTTCTGGTGGTCAGTATTAACTCTTGTCCTGTTTTCAAAGCTTTATTCGTGCGGAGACAACATAAAAGGCTGCACAACATCAACCAAATATATGCGCAGATCAATAGTCATCTGCGGGTTTCAAAATCTCGGTCTCACCAAATTACCAACAGATCTACCAACAAACGTTGATCGTCTTGATGTTTCGTTGAATTTCTTCAAAAACTTCTCAAATATTCCGCATCTGAAGCATCTCAGCAGGTTATCCGTGAGTGCGAGCCGGGTTGAGACTGTGTCCTGGATATCCCTCCGCAATCTACCCGCTCTTGAAAACCTCTACTTATCCCACAATAGAATTACCCATGTAAACCTGGGCATTGTCATGGTACATCTTCCGAAGCTGAATTTTGTAGATCTTTCAAATAACAGGCTTAAAACTGTTTCTGAAGACAGGCTTGGGCTCCCTTTCTTAGGATCGGTAGATATTGACAACAATCCATTTAGCTGTGACTGTGCAATGTCGTGGTTAATCAAAAAGGTCCAATGTTTGAAGAAATGTAGCAGAGCGCTTTCAGTGGGTTGTTGCTTTCAGTGCAATGCGTGCTTTCTCCGAACCTTTGGACAGTTTTACGATAGACTACAGTGTGCTAGCCCAAAACACTTGGAAGAAAGAAGTTTGGCAAATGTCGGTGGTTCTCTGCCTACGTGTGAGGCAAGGACAACTGACGCAGCAAATATACTAATGTCTATAAAGCCTTCGACAACTACACCCCATTCTTTGTCTTATAAATATTCTCAAGGAGTCATCATTTCGTCTCAAGGCTATGAGGCACCTACATCGAAGGTCATAACTGATCTAAACGTGTCTCCACACACGTGCACACAATGCTATTCTGGCTTGTCTGGAAATCTTTCTATACTAGTTTCCAATAGCACGACCGCTTCTCAGAATTCTCTTCGACCGACCTCTTCAACATTTAGCCCCAAAGCAAAGTCCACAATTGGTTTCAAAACTAAAAACAATAAGCCATCGTATAGTAGCCATGAAATTATGTATATAACCATTACTTCAGCCAGTTGCATTTTTATTCTCTTCACCTTACCCTTTATGTTAAGATTTGTCCGGGTGTGTTTGTCCCATGGCTCTAAAGGAAAGGCGGATTCTCGTGCAAGAAATGACGTCAGACTGCGTCACGTCCGTCCGCCAATCGCAAACACGGCCTACCAGAGAAATAACACAAGGTCAACACAACAACTACCGACTCGGAATAACATACTACTGGGTAGACTGGCTCAAAACAAAAATGACGACCAAAACTGTCGCGGTTTAACCTCTTTAAACACGTTCCCTCACACCAGGATTGTTGTGGAAGTCTCAGTCTCATGTACGCGGGCGGAAATGCTTTCTTCCCGGCCTCTGCCAGAATTACCGGCGGGGATAGACTGGCCCAAGCCCGCGGGTGCTCTCAGCACTGATCGGGATAGTGAAGCTGATAACATGTCAGAGCAAGGATACGAAGAAAACCATGATTATGAGGAAATTCCCTGAAAATTGTTCCCCATGTCCATGGTGTTTATTAGGCCTTGGAAAATTTTCGACGAGTAGAAATGGAGTCTTCGGTCAACAACTTGCATAGTTATAGAACCCGTTTTGCTGCTAAACAATCTTTTCTGTTAGAGAAACCTAGAACTAACGCACTGATGAAGTGTTTCATGTGCAGGGCTGTCAGTGTGTGTAATAACCTTCCAATTGTCATGCAATCCACACAATCCCTGAGAGTCTTTAAGGATGGTTTGCACAAATACCTCCACCAGTAGTTACAAGCACTGTTCGACAGGATTGTCAGTTTTTTAAATTATGTATATTGTAAATATGTTATTGATTTAGATGTGTTTGTGACTTGTCTAGTTGTCAACCATGTTTGTATAATGTATTGTCTCTGTGAATGAATACCAGGAAGACTAG